ATTTCGAAATATTCTTCAGGGACGAGATAAGTTTCAGCAAACTGTCATCAAAATTTGCCGAGTTTTCCATCCTCCTTAAATACGATCGATACAACTAAATGGATATATACTCCCCATATAATCACTAGACAAAGAGTTTAAACCTCGATTTCACTAGCCATTTAATGTTCTGGACAAACTACTCATAATTGGTGTTTATCAGATCAATCGGCCTGCAACATGTAGAGTGTAACTAATATGGAAGCAAATTCGATCATGGAGTCTCATCATGAGACTCATGTCGAACACAAGTTCGAAAATAAAAAGAGAAATATTAGACAGCAAAGGCTACAGATAACGCTGTCTGTAGAAAAGGAAAAAATGAGAAACCAACTATGCACAGAGAAAACAGCTTCAAACTTAACTAAAGTAACAACAAAAGGAATACGATTGCACTATCAGTAATAACAACCGCTCAGTATGGCTTACAAAGCCTGAAAGCAGAGAAAGAAACTCAAAAATTTGAAACCTGGAATGTTCAAATGTTCTGGCAATTGGAAACGTAAAACTACTGAGGAACAAGATAAAACCTTTTAGAATCGATGTCATTGGCATCTTAAAATTACGTTGAACAGCAAAATGTAAAACACCAACTAGTGACTTCATTTCGTCGGAAGAAGACGATAAAAGCAGAAAAGATGTAACGATGCTAGGGAGTGCAATCAATAATATGTTAACAAGAGCCATCAAAAACAGATATAGTAATCATCACAAGCAATCGAACACAAATGTTAATATAGATAAACTAAACTGAGGGTCTATCTATGGCAAATATATAAACAGGAAAAGAGACGAACGTCACCAACCAATCATAAAATTTGCAGCAGTATACAATCTATAAATCTGTAACACCAAATTTCAACAGAAATCAAATAGAAAGAAGATATAGGCATCACGAGATGACGTACATAAAATCATAATCACAGTTGATATAACATGTAGTCTAAAGAATCATGCAGCAAAAATAGAAGAAACAGTCAAAAAAGTATTAAAAGCAACTGCCACTCTTTGAAAAAGAATCAAGAAACGCTGGATCTTCGAACGAATCTTAAATATAGAAGATGAAAAATCTATCTGCACAATACAAACCTCTGTAACGGTTTCTGATAGAAGAAACATTAATATAGATGGACTTATGCTTTACGTCTTTCTTCATAACACAAATTCATTACCTTACATATATCAGCACGTGTTCACCTATATTCAATCAGAGCAATAGGAGAACAAAAAGAAAGGAGATATATATATACTTAATTGAAGGATGCATAGGTATGACAAAAGAAAGGATAAAGCATATCATAAGAAGAATATGACAAAACGGGAATAATGCATAAAATGACAAGAAAGGACAAAATTTAGTAGGAAAAATGACAAGAGAAGGTTAAACATTGTATATGAACAACCGATTTAACGAAGCACTGAAAACAGATAACGATACATACTAAAATTAGATAGGAAGCGTCACACTAACTGTACAGAAATCATTGCAATAAAGTCAAGAAATTAACGAGGTATGATAGGAAAACTGAATATAAGAGAAATGTGAGGAAATCGAAAAATCAAAAAACCTGTAATACCAAGCAGGTCTACAGTTTGATGAAAGTGCCGAAAGATGAAATTTGTACCTCGAGTAATTGTAATGAAAAGCTAAGAAGGCTTAAAACCGAAGATGGACACAGTATTCTAAGTCTATACAAAGAGAACGAATGTGAGGATGTAGTGTAGTAAAAGAACTCAGAAGTATAAATCCTTCCTACGAAGATAAATCTCATTAAATCCTATACTCCGAAATAGAGCGAATAATGTGCAGAGTAATAGGGAACAAAAATCCAGGTTTAAATGAAATTACAGCTGAAATACTATAAATTGGAGGCAAGCATCTAGTCACATAGTTATAATATTATTTTAGTATGAAATTTTACTTGTTTCGTTCTCAGAGGCTAGATTCGAACTTATCCAATTAAATACTTACCTCTTTTCGACTTCTCCGAATCTAAAAATAGGTATACATGAAACTACGTTATAAATTGATCAAGATGGAGATTCTGTAACACCAACTTGCAAGTACTTTTCCATGTAGAATACTTAAAACGATTTTTCTGAAAAATACTTAATAGTAATGTTTTATCTTAGACACCCAATTTAGCTTTCTATTAACTACTCGATTCAAATATTGCATGATGCAGCCAACGATAGATATAAGGAGATAATCTGTGATTGTTTGCTAAGATAGAATAGCTGTATTATAACAGAATTTACAATTAGAATTTCAGTTCTGCTGTCAGGCGTTAAATATTTTTATAATTGAGATTAGGCTGTTGAACCATCAGCATGCCTCCATCCATAACGACTGATCTATGAGTAATTTTGTTTATTTGAAATTGCTAGTGGGTAAGTGATAAGTTCTCGAAAGTAGTTTTCAATGCAAAATATGCAATACTACTTTTTCAAGAGCTAGTTTAAACTTATTTTAGAAACACATGATCCTAAATGACTTTCTAGTGCTATCGTAAAAATAAGCTTTTCAAAAAGTGTAGAGTACTTAAAAAGACTTGCACAAAAATAAATTTGATGGTACATATAGCAATTACACTCAAAGACAAAAGTCTTTCTTTCCTATGCTTTCTTTAAAAACTTAATATTTCCATTCTTTTTATTATCCGATCAATGTGTAATATAAATACAACTCTAAATAATACTTCTTCATTCTTTTCTTCTTAGCTGCTGATTCGGATGTCTCAATCTTGTGTAGCAAGTGAGCGTGGGTGAAAATCCTCATTTCTTTCTTTCACACCCACACTCAAATAGGACTCTTGTTTCTCTTAAAAGCTAATCAAGATTTGTTCCTATCGATAATAGAATAATGAAGATCTTTTTATCACAATTAAAAGATAGATAATCATCTTAGATTTTTTTTATATCTCTATATCAATCACTTCTATTCACTTATTTATTCATTTCTACAAGAAATATTTTACTTTAAAAATTCTTTACAAACCAAGTTTGTTAACAATAAAATAAACAATTTTATTTTTTCAGACATTTCATTATGATTTATTTAACGAATATTTTGCCAAAAATGACTATTAACTACTACTTATTTTTTTCCTTATTACTTTTGTCGATGCTTTAACCTTTTGATTTTGTTAGACTGCTATTTCAATACTAAGCAGGAAAATAAAATGCTGAAATCTTACTGGATTATCGAAGATACTATCCTATTCTGTGATAGAAAGAGAATCAGATTTGAGAAGAAAAAATTTCAATTGTTGTATCAAGAATAGGTTGCACAAATGAAAATATGTCGCATGAATGATTTAATTTATGTAACACTGAGATTTATTCATTTGAGAGTGTCTCTTTTCATTTGATCATTATTTGAAAGATGAATTCAACTCATCTTGATTAAACATTGAATCATGGTTTATTCCAATGAGTATTCTACGTATTTTATGTAAGAATTTGATCATATAAATTTCTTTATTCTTTTTAATTATTCTGCCTATTGATAAAACTTGTCATATAGTTTCAATGATATTAGTTGGTAATACATGTTTAAGTGCACTGATATGTGAATGTACTATGTTATCCATGTAGTTGATAGCTTTTAAAAATGATCTCAGTAGAAATCAATGTCAAGATTCATTGTGTATTTTTCAAGCTTATATTACTTTTATAGGAGGTATTCTACTCAGAAATTCATTTTTATTATAAACTATTCATCGATATTCTACAGCTATCGAAGTCATTCATATTTTCAATCAATTCGATTTCAATTTTTATTCATTTGCATAAAATGGATACGTTGTTGGTATATCCTATTCCAACTATATCTACTGATGATATCTATTAGAATATTTACAATTAAATATGTCAGATATGTTTTGAATTTTCATTTTCTATTATTTATATATAATTATGTAGTTATATTTATTTAAAATTAATTTGATATGTTCATAAAATGAGTAATCATGTTACATCTACAACTATTTACTATAGAAAAATGATTCAAGGTTTGCTGTGAGATTAAGAACAGATTTTCAGAATAATTACCTTCATATTGGTCTCAGATTATAATTTGCTTATTTTTTCTCTTGTCTATTTTCATTTAAATTGAAAAGTTTTTTAGTTAAAACTAAATTGAAAATTATTCACATGAATCATTAATACTTGTTCTTAAAAACTAAGCTTATATCATGATATCACTCTTTACTTCATATTCAATAGTCTTTTACAAATTTATTTTACTTTTGATCACTTCAAACTAAACTAAAGTTTTACTGTCAAACAAGACTTATTCAAATTTATATAATTATTCTACAGATCAATTGAGTACAAATAATATTAAGTAAAAGAAAAAATAGCTCGAATTACGCAGAATAATATGAAAAAAGAAATATTCCAACACAATCCAGAATAAATGATAATGCATAGAGACAAGGTATACAGAAAAGTCATGATAATATTATTATTCCTACTTTTTCATTCTTATTTCCACGCATTCTTGAATCTTCATAGTCACACAATTAGATAATCATATAACTCATCTCTTAAATCCTTCTTTTGTATAGACTATTAGTATTAGGTCTATCATCCATGGTTTAATGACTAAAAAAAAACAGTCAAAAAAAACATACTACTCTTTAATAACTTATTTCGTAAAAAACACAGTATAGCGATAAGAAGTCTATTTTCTCAATTAATTTCTCTGCAGAAATCGTAGTATATCTAAAGGAAAATATTGCAGCTAATATTTCTTTAATTTTTTTAAAATGTATCATAAGAAATTCATTCATGAAACTTTTACATGAATTTGAAAAGACTTGCTCAATGGTCAAACATCATTTATGTTTTCAAGAATTAAAACTGAATCGACATATTATTCTACTTGCAATCTATCATTCATGTAGATTTCATTATAAGCTGTTCCAATTTTACAAATACAACGTATGAATATACAGTTATGCTCTCAACAAGCACAGATGAACTAATAACTTCTTGCTAAACTATAACTTTAATTCATGATATTCATTTCATACTAAAACAGGACTTTCCTATGCCTCAAGATTACAAGACAAGTAGTAAAATTATTTAGTGTATAATAGTATTAGATGAAAAACAGATAAATATAAGTAATATTTCTAAAATATAAGAAACATATATGATAGTCATTAAAGCTAGTTTTTGTTATTAAAGTCTATCATTATGCAATAGATAACAAAATAATTAATCGTATTATTCTGTGCCAATTACATATATTCGAATCTACTATTGTTATTACAAGTAAACATGCAATTATAAAAATACTTCAATTTAAAAATTTAAAACAACATAAAAATGTTCGTTTTAAATGAAAAAACTAAATTGATCGAATATTATTGACTATAAAGTAACATTAAAGACTATTCCAAAAAATGCCGATTCATTGTAACAATTGCATAATTATTTCATAATATTTCGATTTTTAAATTGTTGTTTGCATATTAGTTTACTCATCAATTATTTACAAACACTGGGATAACTTTTTTCAAAAGTCATTCCAAATTTTTCTTCTTTCTTTTTCCTTTCAATGTACATGTGAGAGTGTCGATGTGAATGTGAATATGGATCTTAATTACACCTAGTTACATTCATATTCAGATGCTTATCCATATCCATTAGTAATTATTTAAGTGAAAAACTCAATGATGAATGTAAACAAATTGATGCTATTCAAATATATATCACTTATTATTTAACACAATAGGTTGTGAGTATAGATGTTGTCGAAGAAAAGAAGTACACATCACACCCTATTGAGATACACATATGATATTCACATGTACGTGGCAACTTAAATGAAGACAACTGAGAAGAGAACTAAATTCATATTGATGTTTTTGATGACAAAGTGGATAAAATGAAAAAGAAATTATTGACATTGTTTTGATTTTTCTCAAGGTATTTCCATCTAGACAAATATTTATTACTGTAATTAAATGAAGCAATATGAATACAACTATCAATGAGGTAATCGTTGTGTGAGTAAATGCAAGAACAATGTTCATTGTAGAAATATTCAAATTCAATATCGTTGCAACATATTTGGTAATATTTTGAAGATAACTATGACAAACAGAGTTATATGTGAAAGAGAAACTATTGTAATAATCATATGATTGCTTTCTATTATCGTTTAGAAAACTTTATGTTTGACTAAAAGAAGTAATAAGTACTAGAAATGTCTTGAAGAGAAGGTATCATCTCGAAAATTCATCTAAAATCAAATAAAAGAAAACTTCTTCTTCATTTGTCAAGGTATGAAATAAAACAATCCAAAAAAGAACTGCTTCTTATCGTATTTTAACATTTATTCATATCATAGTATTATTTTGCTCATAGAATGTATTAAAAATAATTTTAATCATCTCAAATTCATTTTAGTTAACTATGTATATGTACTCAAACCAAATATCGACTCATATTTCATATGCTAGTCTACTTATTGTAATTAAATATCTCTATTTATCACCTCTTTTAATGTTTTAAAAAGCTAGTACAGATTATCAAACAAGTTTACATCGACTGTTAATTTTATATTTGTGCAAATAGATCCGATACTCTATTTTCAACTTTATTTTTTGTTAAACCAGTAAATGATTGAATAATATATGTATGCGCATATTCTACATAAACAGAATTATCAATAATGAGAACATGTCTGTGATTAAAGACGTATGTTTTCAAAACTATTCAATTTGAATTCTCATTTAGACTGGTTGCATGTATATATATATATGCTAAACTAGAATTTTTATCTGAATCAAATGCTGATGATCTGAATAAATTGATCTCGATATGATGCATTATTAGATTTATCCTATTCAGTTATTTGTTGAATTAATAAGAAAAAAAATAGGGTCAAAAAAGTTGGATTATAGTCTTGATTATATAAATATAAATTTATGTAATTGGATCTCTTTAAAAAACTAAATGTGATTACTTTTCTTCATATTTGAAACGGTATACTATACATATATGCCAATCTTCTATGTATCAATACAAGAAGGATGATGTTATTCGATGTGTATTATTTTTTATGCTGAAATGACATTATCAATGAGTACTCTGCAGATCTATCACTAGTAGATGTGATCGATGATCTTACCTTACTTGATTTTTCAGAACTTCTTCATAAGACAAAGTGATGACTAAAATACAACTTGAACTTATAATATTATGACTTCAGTGCAGTATTGAACAACGATTTATGATAATTGCAAAGCAGCTGAAGATACAGATTGTGCGCGATTTGTTGAGTTCTATGAAACATAAAAGTTATTATCTAGACTCAACTTTTTTCTAACTCAGATATAGTTTTTCAACATCTATGATCAATATTAAAGAATTTGTGCGACAAAAAATCACCATATAAATGTTGTCTGAGAGAAAAGAGACGTCAGAATGCTTCCAATACTCGTGAACAAATTATTTGTGAGATTGATGTGTATGTAGATATAAGTGTGACCCTATGTACACTCGGCTAACTAGATTTGATACTTATATCGAATGCTCAGATGATTGAGAAGATGTTGAAAATACTGTTTTGCTCACCATCGTTGTTAGCTCTCATATGTATAGAACGAAAGAGACAAGCAGTGTCACTGATGTTATGTGACAGAACGATGAAAAAGATGACCTTCGTGGGGATCGAACCCACACCTCCTGCTATCCTGGCAGTTGTCCTAAGCCAATTAGACTAGAAGGCGCATCTNCCTGTAGGATAGTCAAGCGCGAAGTTGATTGATGCTCCATCACCTGCCACTGTGATTGCATTCAATTGACCAAATTGAAATAATTGAATTCTATTATTTCCAGAATCGGCAACATAGAGATTAAAATTAATATCGACAAATATTCCGATAGGAGAAGATAATAAATTCGATGCTGAACCTGCTGTACCATTACCTGCAGCAATCATTGATGCATTTGCATCCTTATCTAGTGAACCTTTGACAATCACATTATTCGTCCATTGGGAACAATAAAGAGTATTATTATTGTCAATAAAGAGGCCAGCACAGACATCAGCGACATACATCACAGTTATGCTTCTTGTCGCATTTAGCGACCACTTTCGAATTCGACCCCTTGCACCATTGTCAACATAAACATCGCCATTGTGAGTGACAAAAACACTAAATGGACCATTTAAATTACCAGTTATATTTCTCGTTGGAATGAAACTCCCTTCTGGCCATACTAGAACACGGTTATACCAATATACTGCCACGTAAACAGTATTGTAAATATCGATAAAAATGCCGCTAGGATAGCTGCCAACAGTGCTCGCATTTGTCAAGGTAGTTGCATTTGGATTCCATAATGCAGATTCACAAAATTTCGGTTGATTATAGAAGATTTCTATATACAAGAGAAGCATACAAGCAGTTTCTAAATGAATTTGAATACTATTTTTGACTGATTAAATGACCACTTGTTTAGAAAGTTTTCATTTTTAACATGGAAATCGACTACTATTAATATGTAGAAAGAAATGAAATGCATATTCTTACCAGTACCATCAACCACTTTTATCATTGAAAATATGACCAAAATATTAATTAAGAAAACTTTCGTAACCGATAAGAACATCAAAGATTGAAGACACATCGAATAGCGGACATCTAGAAGCGATTTGGAGCTGTTGAACATAACATTAGAGAATGTATTCTTTTCAATTCAACCAACACTTACATTTTCATTGGAAGAATAGGCACACAAAAAAAAACAAATGACCTTCAGTCGTAACTATTCTACTCTCAAGAGAAAAAAAAAGTCTAATTTTCTATATTCCATCCACCGTTGCTGTGTCATTTGGAAACACAAGCTTTTCTGTTTTTCCTTCACTTTTAACAACTCATCGTCTATAACAGTAAAGCAGAGCTTGAATGAACAATCTTCATTAGCAAAGAAGAAAAATTAGACAACAACTTTTTTAACAAAAGAAGTATATAAAGATATGTGCTTCATGCTTTTATTCATGCGAACTAGTTTCACTATTAGTTCAATTGAAAGGAGACTAATGTTAATACCAAAAAGAAAAAAAAAGGATTGGCGTATTTGTTAAATTAAATGTATTTACATAAATGCGCGAAAATGTAAAAATAGATCAATCAGTCGTTATTATTTTGCTGTTGTTGTTCTTCGAATATAGCCATTGCCATCACTATATGTTGTTGACGATGATAAATTTGGATTTTTCGTAAGATTTTTGCCAAGATAGGAGCAAATATTTTCAGTAAAACTGTCAAGCCTCCGAATAGTCCAACAATAGTTGTTATACTATACATTAGACTGATTCGTTCGTAAATAAAATAAATACATTGCAGTGGTGCACATGATGAATAATATTGATCATAATTAATATTTGTTTCCCATTGAACAATCATTAATTTCTTGATTAATGTTTGAACGGTGTCATTAGGTGAAGAAACTAGAAGATCAAGTGGTCGAAAAGTAATGTTTGAAAAATAATACATATTTTTTAGTACATTAATACATGTTATATTATAAAGACATTCAAGAGTCGATTGAAGAAGAGCTTCAAGTGCATAGCAACCAACACGGAAACCCGGCACAATAGATCCATTAATAGTAGCCTGTGATGTACACATTGCATTTGTAGCACAAGAACAATCATTATATTTACCATAGAATCGTGATTGACTCCAGATTGAGTCATATTCAATATTTCGATTTAATGCAAAAAAATACCAATTCGACATTGTCGATGAAACAATACCATTACCTTGTGCTATCGATCGAATAGAATCAAGTATACGTAAAAATGTTCGTGGTGTTGATATACGAAATTGAACCATCGTAGCATTAGCTCGTTGTTCAATACTTTCACGTGGTTGTAAATTTTTACTAACGAATGTATTTGAATAAAAATAGATTAATTCATCGGATAATGTATCATTGGCTAACGTACATAATGAAATAAGCCATCGAAATTGAGATACAATAAATAATCGATAATCGATATAGGAGTAAATAAGAGTAGCTTGAGAAAAATAAATTTGATTAAGCCATATTGATGAATTTAAAATAAAATCACTCGAACAAAATTGATGATAATTCACTTTTATTTTAATAAAGGATTTATATTCAATAGAAATATTTTGACATGGACAATTTAATGTAGAAGAATATTTTGAATTCTTTTGTAAATCTTCAAATTCTATTAAAGATGGATTATTGATGATAATCAAATGTGTTTGAATAATTAATAATGTATAAACGATTAGAATACTTATTGAAATACCAAGACAAAGAATATAAATACGAGTCGCAAGAATTTCTGTGCGAAGATGACATTCATTATTCCATGTAGCTTCATTTTCGAATACATTGAATTTTAATAACTTATTCATCAATGATTGCCATACATATCTTATATGATTGATGAATCGCACATGACGACCTATAAGAAACAAAGTAATAGATACATGTGAAAAATATTTCATGCATACAACATACTTGTTAATGTGTCAGTTGTAGGTAAGATTTTCGGTCGCATAAGATTCCGTAAAAATCGAATAATGATCAGCAATATTATTCTCCATGCAATGGAGAGTCCACAGAATAAGCTAACTAATACTGTGATCACGTATAACGAATGTGGACGCGATATAAGTGTATATGAACACAATTTTGTTGCACATTGATTAAAATATTGATCGTATTGAATATGATGACCCCATTGTTCGATCATAAATGAATCAAGTAATACGCTAATAGGTGTTTCAGGTAAAAAACGAGTATTACTTGCATTTAGAATAGGTATTTCAATAGATTCTGTTGATATAATATACCATTGAACAATATCTAAACAGGATTGACTAAAAAAACATTCAAGTGATGATTCTAGAACACCTTGAATGATTGAACAACTAATATATAAATTTGGTATTTCAAATATGAGTTGTTGATCATCATAGGAATATAAACCAATCGATTTTTTGCATTCATTATTAATTACACATGAACAATTGTCGATAATCATTGGTAATGAAGAAAATTCGATATGTGTATCGTTATTATTTACATGTGGAATTGAAAATTGTGTATTATAATTTGCTAAGAACATACTATGACTATGTATTGAAATTAATCGTCGAATACGTGTAAATTTAGCTACTGTATTTAGAATAAATTGCTGTAATGTTGCATTGGATCGATCGATTAATTCTTCATAGGACAATGTTTGAGCAGTAATCAGTGATGATCGATTAAAAATTTGCCATGCATTAGACAATGTGTTTTGTATTAATGAACATAATGTAGCTAATGTATTAAAAAAATATGGAGCAGATTCTTCAAATTTTACGGTAGGGTATATAGCAAGTGGATATCTTCCTCGTGTTGAAAGAATCCATTCATCGGATACAAATAAACTTGAACATACCGGATGATATTCAGGTGAAAATGATATAAATGATCCATAGGGTATAACTATTTGATTACATGGACATTTCAATGTTAATGGGAATTTTTTAAATAAATTTTCATAAACTATTTTTGAAGGATTTTTTATATTTATAATACGTTTGTCAACATTCGATCCTGTATATATGACAAGAATTGTACTCGATAGAAAGAGAACAAGAAGATAAATACGAGTCGTTATTCTTGATGAAGTCAATTCATATGGATCATGAAATGTTGCAGGAGTCTTGAATAAATTAAATTCAATTATCTGTATTCGTATCCATGACCATAGTGTATGAATATGTTCAGTGAGAGATCTGCCTACATGAAAAAAAGACGATAATTATGTTAATATACAGCACATAATAATTCATTTTTTCTCTTATATTTTCTTTTTCGATAATATATGTACCGTATGAAACTAATTACAAACGTTGTAAATGGACCAGAAATAGAAAATAAAGTTCAGATAAGAACAAAAAATTCATCAAAATAAAAGATTTTTTTACTAGAAAGAGGCATAAAAATGTGAATACCAAAAAATAATGTTTTTTTTAAATATCTTTTGGATTGTTAGAAGAATATTCGTAGCACTAGTTTCTTTTTTTTTGCAGCTCTCTAAAATACTTGGGTATGAAAGATGTCTATACAACATTATACTGGAATCGGAGATTGATAATGCTGTCTTAAAAATCTGGAAAATCTAATATTTTAAATTTTGTACTTCGTGTCGTTGTATAATTGCAATTATTTCTAATCTGTAGTTTCAAGTTTATTTCCTGAATAAAATTTAAAGTTATGAAGAGAATCTTCTAGTGAAAAGATCACGTCAAGCTACATTTGGAAAGTCAAGAAAAAGAAAAACGTTACCGGTTTAATTATCTATAGGTCACTCATTACAAAGAAGAGTATTGAAAAGAAAGAAAATGTAATAACGAAAAAGAAAGACCATGAACGAAAGAGAATGGACTGTTGCATGACCGGATAGCAGTGAGACTTACTTGCATTAACATTGATCAGATGGCTCGGTTGATAACTACGTTTACGCCACCAACCAATCGTATGCGATGCAAGAAGACGAAGAACAACAGTGAGACCACCATAGAGACTCAACAATTTCGTTATTACGTACAATGCATCATTACGTCTTGTGAAAGTATACGTACATGAAATGGGCTCACATTGTGCATAATATAATGAAAAAGAATTTATTGTTGTCCAATTTTCAACAAATAATTCATCGACTAATCTTTCGATAGAATCTTGTGGATGAAATCGTGTTTGACTATTATTTAAACAATGAAAAGTGCTATTGATGGATAAAGAAAAGAACTGTAGCACTCTATTTAAACACGATGAATCAAAGAAACATTCGAGTGTTGATCGAAGAACTGATTCAATAGGATAACATCCAACTACAAAACCTGTCACATTAGCCATGGGTAGTTTAGCCTGTCTATACGCGCCATAATTAGGAATGGCGTAAGCAGCAGGAATATAAAAAGTAGAGGATAAGAAGCATGTTGCTCTAAGATTACAATAACAAAATTGGTTTCTAAAATCAATAAAACTCGGACCATATGAAAATACAGATGCTGTATTATCAACATTGAATTCAAAGAAATGTGATCGAGATGTTTGTAATGCAGTTTGTAATCGATTACTGTAAGTAGTCGAACGTAGGAGATGAAGTAGATTTTGGAAAATATTTTCTGTTGATATTTGTACAAATAAACTTTGTGCTTGAATTTGTTCATCGAATTGCAAACGTGAGAAAATATAGGGTGTTAAAAAATTAGCCGAAAGAAAGTCATCAATAGCATCCGATACTGATGTCAAAACAAGTGAACAAAGCGATGCAAGTAGTTGAAATTGACCTGTAGCTGATGATCGAAAATCAATGGGATAGAAAAAGCTTATATTTGCATTGAAAAGAATATTAATCCATCTATCAGATATGAATGAACTAGAACATATAGGATGATATCGAACTAATATGGACGTGAATAATCGATAATACACTGAAATATGTTTGCAAGGACATTGAATTGTTGTCGGATATTGTGTATATAAATCATCATAGATAATTTCAGACGGATTCAATACACTTACAGTTTCAGTATGATTTTGTAATGAAGTAAAAGTAATTAAAATTATGATGGCTAATACGAGCATTAATAAATAGACACGAGTTGTGACGATTGCAGTCTGCCAATGAAAAGCATTTGTACGTGATGCCTCGCTTTCGAATACATTCAAATTGACTGCTTGTGTTTTCACCCATCGACAGAAGTCGATCATAATGGCTAAGAGCTGCATATTCCGAGTTATAGAACAACAACAGTGAAGAAACTACTCTTTTTAATTCAACCAACACTTACACATTCTCATTTGTAGAATAGAAACAGAAAAAAGACTGTCAGTTGAAGTTATTTTACTCTCAAGAGAAAAAAAATTTTTTTTCTGTATTCCGTCAAGTGTCACTGTTCCATTCGGAAAATGAAACTTTCCTTTTCTTTATAACAGGGCTTGAATGAACAATCTCAATTAGTAAAGAAAAAAGAATTTAGGTAATACATGTTTCCTTGCAATTACATCGAGTAAAAGATACATCAACGAGATAAAGACACAAAATAATTCACAAGTGGTTTTGCTAAAAATTAGACAAGCCGATGAGACTGTACTCAACAATTCCATTTAGGCATGAAATAGAAGTTGAAAAAAAAAACAGCAAGAAATGCACATATATTCATAAGGAGCAGATTAGCTTTTGTGATACAGGTAGTTAGCATCGGAAGTTTTAGCAGTCTGTCTTTTACTGCTGACAGCAACAAGAATATTTCTTATTTCTTATTTCACATGATGTTTTATGGATCGAGTAATTCTTGCAAACATGTGATATTTTTGGCTCTCAGAATCACGACGTTCAATCAGAACTTGTATATCATCTTATATTACACTATTTTCAATATTCTTGAATTCGCCCTTAATCATTCAAATTTCAATCAATGTTTTCATATAAGTTCAGTAAGAGAACAAATCTTTGTCATTTGTTATAGTTAAATGGAAACTAAAAATACACGTGCAGATAGAAATTTTATTAGCAACGTCTAATACCTTTAGTTGGAACTTGAAACATGATTTTATAAAATTTGGTCTTTTCCTGAAAGAATAATAAAATTAGATTTTTTGAAAAGAAATGTGTAAAAACCAAGGGGGAAACGACGTACTCTCGTACTTTTGTACTCTACAGAGTCCATGGACTTTGATTGGGCTCCGTGTACTCTGACTGGACTTTCATGGACTCTGAGTACAGAGAGTCCAAAGGAAAACGCTGTACTCTTGGACTTCCTGGACTCTCATGGCAGTTTCAGAGTCCCTGAAGTACTCAAGGTACAGATAGAGTCCACGAAGTCCACAAAGTACCAACTGAGTCCGTGAAGTCCACGAAGTCCATGAAGTACAAGAAGTCCAATCATCGGGACAACANACAATCATAGTCGTAGATATTTAATCTAAAGTAAAATTTTTCATTGTAAATGTCTCTATCATATGAATACTCTGGTACTTCGGCAAAATTGCGGTACGAAGATAGCCGATCTTTTAAGTATCAAACTACCTTCGGTTGATTGTCGGTATAACGGTAAATACTAGGCATGCACCAAAACCAAAACTTCTGGCTTTGGTTTTGGTTTTGATTTTGACTGTGAAATATAGTCTTTTTCGAAGCATCTTGAAACATAGACCAAAACCAAAACCATATCAAAACCAAAACCTCAAAACCAAAACTTCAAAACTAGTTTTGGTTTTGGTGCATGCCTAGTAAATACCGCCAATATAGCGTACTTTATACAGAACTGTCTACCGGTAGTTTTTGTTCAATTAGAATCTCATGGTTTTCTATGAAGATTAATACTTTGTTCTATTATTATATTAATATTAGCATGAGAAAAAAATAGACAGGCAGCCCAAACCAAAAAAAAAATGTCGACGTCTTTAAATACTCTATATTAATGATTTTGAGAACTAAAAAAAACTGTATGCTAATTTAAATTACCTTGAATGCCCGATGTAAACGAAGAACAGCATAACAAAAAATAAAACGAGCAAGAAATAATCGTAGGAAGTCATCACCAAAAAAGTGATAGATTGTACCATCTAGAAAACAAAATTGAAGTTGTATTTGATAAATTAAAAAAACTAATCAAAATCTTACCAACAAGTTTTGATTTTAAGAAAATTTTTATTATTTCAAAAATAATTTTATTCACATTTTCTTGACATAAATTCCATTGTTCGCTTGTTAATTCATTTAAATGGCAAACAAAACAAAATGCAAATGCTGGTGATGTTAAAAATAATGTAAATAAACTTCCTTTATTTTGATAATCTAAGCAAGAAAAAAATAAATAAACAAAAAGTTTTTTAACGTACACACATGACCAGTACGTTAAAGAAGGCTCATCATAAATTATGAAACTAAGGAAGAATGTCACTGTCTTTCAGCTATCTTGCGGTATAGGGCGCAGCTTAGCAGTAAATTAATTAGCTTGAGATTTTCCTACAGTTATGATCAGCTACAACTCTGAGTGGAAAACTAACCTAACGCAAGATTCTTGTGCTCAATTACTTGAGCTCTTGTATACGCTGACTAACTACAAGAACAATTGTATGTCACAACGTGATCAGCATGCTATAGGACGGTTCATCAAAGGCAAATAGCTTTTAGTGACTTGCCCAGAAGTATTGCACGGCTTGTGGTACTGAAGTGTGCACACAGTACCTTATGGATGCGTGTCGAGCAACATAGCTGCTTGTTCCTTATTGCATTCCCGACGGATTCAAAAAACGGATAGTGAAGAGATATATCTCAAAATAGATAGAATAAAACAATCTCTCTTTGATTAGTAACAGTAGCTACATCGTGTTTCTCATTTTAGTCCCGCAGCGATTGCACTAACAGCTTTTTAGATAATAGAAAAAATAAAATTCATATCTTACCATGAAATACTGCTGGTATTTTAACAGGTGAAAGTAATGAAACTAACGGTTGTCCAAATAAATTTGGCATATTTTGAAATACAATACTATTATTACTATCAATTATTAAAAACAATGGTTTGCGTAAAAATGGATATAAATCTCCTGGAAATATATTATGAATATCTTTAATAGGTGTTGCTGTTGTTGTTGTTGAAGTTGTTTTTTTTCCAAGAGTATTTGCTGGTGAATTTAAATTATCATTAATATCATCATGTCGATTATTAGTCTTAACACCACCAAAATCGTATGAATGATCATTTTTTATTTTCATATGTGTATCATAACCATCAGCAGAAATATAAAGCAGAAGAACACCATTCATAGGTAATTCTTTAAACGCTGATGCTGTAAACGCATAAATTTGGCTAAATGTTGGTTTATAAAGAAGATATTTATGAGGATTTGAACGTTTTGAAGATTCGTCATCGTATAAATCCTAAATGAATGTATTCGAGACGAAATTTATTAAAAGAATAAAGCATTATTATAAGATGTAGATAGGATATTATCGATCGATCGGGAACAATAAGGAGGAAAGAATTTTATGTAGGATTACTATTTCGAATTGTTTTTCTTTTTCATCTGAAACAAAAAATAATATGAGAAATCTTTCACTAAGATTTTTACACATTCTTATATATATATAATCGACTAAAGTTGAAATTTTTCAATGAATGTTTAAAAAGTTTTCTTAATTATAAGAAATTTGAAAAATGAAAACGAGAGAAAAACGATGCCACATAATTTATTGAAAAGAAAACAAATGGTAACATTTCCAAAGACTAATTTGGACCTTTAAATGTGACTAATTTTGAGCTGAAAATCTTCAAAGACTCAGATCAACATTATTTCCGCGTATTTAAAACCTTAAAGATACTTTTCCAAATCCGCAAAAAAAATCTCTTTGATTTTCAAAAGAATCTTTTCACTAAAGCATTATGGAAATAAATAAGACACAATAGAAAACCCGAGGTCTACAGATTTTTCATTAAAGACTATAACCTCCGAGTAATCATTTAAAATCCTTACAATAGTTTCCTTTTCATGATTAGCTGGCGATTGCGTTGTTGCTCTATCATCGGACGATAATGTTGATTCCACTGGTTGTCTTTCAACTGCTTGTAACATTCGATACATATCAAGTGTTACTAAAAGAAAAACAAGTCTTCTCTAGATTAATCAATAAACAAAAATCAATATTTACATTCACTAAATTTTATTTGATCTTGATAATTTCCAATAACAAGAATTTCTTCAAGTGAATACATTTGAATATTTGATAGAATTTTTTCAGCACCGTTAGGTAATGGTGGTATTAAAGAATTTGTTAAACGATAGTATAATGTGATTGGTGTATGATCGACATGTAATTGATTATCAATATCAATGAATGTTGAAATTTCATTTAAAACAAGTTGCCATTCAAGACTATCATCTGGATCATAAGCTTTCACATATTCATCGATTTGACGATTTAATTCACGTACTAATTCACGTATAATTTTTGTTTTTTTTAATAAAAGACAAACAACAATAAATCGTGCATAATAACGTAATTTTTTAACCATTAAATCTGGCTTTTCTTCACGATTTACTTTTGAATAATAGGCACGTGTACGTATAGCTGAATAAAAAGCAAATGCTTCATTTAAATAAATTGTTTCCGATGTACGAATATAAAAATGATAATAAAGTTGACCGATTTTCGAAGCTATTTCACCTATTTGCCAACGTTTTAAACTAAATTTTTTATCGAGAAGTACTCTAAATGACAAGAAGAAATTTTCTATTAAACATAAATTTGATAATTAAATCTTATATACCTATGTTGTTGTTGAAATTTCCATAATCTAGTATAAACATCAAATGTTCTTGCAAAATATGGTTGCCATTGTTTATGTCCATATTGTGGAAGATCTCTGAGAAAGAAAAAATATAAAATCATATGAATAGACTGATAAACTTTGCTCATTTAACAAACAAATTATCAACAAACTTCTTATGAGAACTCAAACTGTAACATTTCGACTTTAAACTTATACTCATTATATTGTTCTTCGGAAAACATAATATGAGTTTTACAAAATTATTTCTCTTAGTGTATATACCTTAATCCATTAAATAATTGTTTTGATTTTTCAAGTAAATGACTAAATTCTTGTACAATTTTATCTTCACATTCTTGATCATGATTTTCATTTAAATATTCATAATTGCCTGATGAGGCTAGCTTATCAGTTGGAGTTAAACTTGCTGCTGTCATATTGTCATTATGAATATGTATATATACTTTTCTTTTTGTACAATAAAAAATATGATCTACAAAACAAAACAAAAACAGATCTTATTAATTAAAAATTCTCATTATTTTATTAAAAAAAAAAACTAGTATTCAAATGGACGGAAAATTTTAACGTAAATTAAAACATTCTCTTGATTACATATCACAATTAAATGGACGAAATATTATGCAAACATTTGCATACTAGCAAAATTATAAAATTTATCAAGTTGTGCACGAGCATCAGCTGGTGATTGACTAATGAAATCTAAAAAGAATATAAATTTTAATTTAGAAAATAAAGTTTTTTTTTTTGTTTTGAAAACTTACGAGGTAAATTCTGATATTTCGTTGTTAATAAATTATGAAGAGATTGTTGACAAATCGATATACAATTTTCACCAGCAAATTCAAGTCCAATAACAGGACCTTTAGTAACTAATGGTATATATGTACGATTACCACCAAACATTCGTTCAGCACTTGTTTCATCAATTTTATATGATTTTGTTTGTACGAGTACAATCTGATTAAACAAAATCGAATACAATATATATATGTTCAGAGATAAAATCAAATAAAAAAAAAACAAAGTCATACTTCAGATTGTTTTGTCAATGTAATCAATTCACGAGCACAAGCATCAGCATTTATATCTTGAAAAAATATTACCAAACAACGCTATAATTAAAAAAAATTATATTTTTTTGTATAATTAGACCGTTTAATTTATTTTGAGAATTTTTTAATAGAAGTTTCGTATGTCTTATACATGATGAAAAACCTCATCGAGTTAGGCGTTTCACAATGCTAAATGTATAGGATATATATATATTTTTATGAAAGCGATCAATCAGCAAAACAATCTAACTTAACTCGAAGTTGAAATGTGTTGCTACATCTGTATAAAATCTTCAGTTATCAACCCCTATGCTTAATTATTGGATTTTTAAAGCTTTCGAAAGGCAGGGATTATTGTTAAGATCTAAGAACTTTAGTTATCTATCATTATTCCACATCGTATATTAAATTAATCTCTGTTTTGCATAAATATTCGACAGATAAAATTAGAATTTAGTAAAAATCCATGTTAGAAGGCATTGTTTTTTTCCTTATAAAAGTGTTTTTCTATGCTGAAAACTGTAAAGATTTCAGGAAAAGAAATATTGTAAAGGTCGAAGTATAATCGATATATGCATACTTCTTCTATTAATTCATACTTAACCTTTTGTTAGAATGTAATGGATCACTTAAATATGTCAACTGTCAAGAAGAAAAAAGTGCAACTTCAATACTTTGAAGTATGACACTTATCGTACTTCATATCTACGTCGAAGTATTGAAGTAGCGCTTTTCTCCCTTTGATCAACTATATTTCATCTTTTTCCATATCCACTACGATAAATTTTTCTCGAAACTATTAGAAATTCCTAAGAAAAAGTGCGATAGAATGGTGTAAATATAATAAAATAATTAACACGAAAATATAACTTTTTGCTTGACTCCTCAAATGTAAATCTGAGCAATCTATATAATCAGAAGTATAGCTATCAACGGAATCAAATAATTCGAAGATAATTCTAGAAAAAAACCTCAGGTGTATAATCTTGATAGTTTCTAACTAAAAATGTACGTTGATATACAATATACTGTTATAAGATAAATTTTCAATGCATTCTTGGTTTTCTCTATTAGCATCTATAAATTTTCCTTGGGTGAAACTCGACCTTTCTGTAATAGATATATATATATATATATAAATTGTTTATCTCTATGAGGCGCCATCTATTAAATAGATAATTTCAAAAAATATCGATGACTTATGCGAGAAGCCAGTAATGAAAAAAATAGAAAGCTGAAGTAAAATTTGATGCACTAAGTTTTTTTCCCCTTCGTCAATAATTTCTTTGAATGATGTGCAATAACGATATATGAATGTAATGCTCTAATAATAGATCACTAGAAATTCTGTTAAGAATACTAAAAAGCACTACGATTAATTGTTACATGGAAAACAATTTAGTAGAGTTCTAACATCCTTTACCAATTTACTCAAGGCACTTTCTTTAATCAAGATAAACTTGTTTTTTTCTCATTTGCAAGTATTGTATTTGCTATTCAAACGATACATTTTTTTGAGTATACTATAACGAACTGTTTATCTAAAGAGAGAGTGTCTTATAAGTTCTGAACCTTGACAAAAATTAGTTTATATATAAACAAAGATTGATCTATATCTATATGAGCTTTGAGTACTTAGGACGATGATTTTAAATGGCATTATCTCTTTTAATAATAGGGATATAAACAGAAGAAATGTGATCATTTGAGTGTAGATGCAGAACATAGCCACACTCACATATCGAAGATACTACATATTGTATTATACAATTGTGTTACGATGCATTCATGGTTCATTAAATCTTATGAAAAAAAATATGGATCGATTTCGAAATTTTAATAATTAAGTTTCTTCTGTTTATATCATCATTATTAAAAGATAATAATGCTATTTAAAACATCGTGCTAAGTACTCAAATCTCATATAGATATACTTTGGTAGAGATCAATCTTTATTTACATATAACCTAATTTTCGCCAAAACCTAAAACTTATGAGATAATCTTTACTATATGTTAACATGTTTTTATTTCATAAAAAAAAAAGCGTCTATAACGATAGCATTGAAATATTGTTTTGCATAGGCTATTCGATGCTCATAATCATCAAAGTAAATCAAATAAGTCTTGAGTAGAATATTCTATTTTTGTCTATCTCTTATCATTCTTTGACATAGAAATGAATGAATTCTATATCTAATTCTTTAGCATTAATTGAATTATCAGATATATTTTTATATAAAAGAAGAAAAAAGAAAAAGAACTAATTATAATAGATTGTACCTTAATAAATAAATCTTTTCGTAGTTTTTTTCTATTTTATTATCAAAATCTGAAATTAAAGTTTTAATTAAAATAATTTCATTGGAATTACAGGGAAATGCATATTTTATTACCATATGACTTAACACTTATTCTTACAATCTATCTTAAAGATAATCTTATCAAATCTATTATATAAAATAGTTAATAGAATTATTCATTCATGAGAAAATTCATAATGAAACTGATTAAGTCTTACTTCTTCAGCTCGATTACGATATAATTCACCATAAGTATATGGTGTAACACTTGTATCAATATCATCCTTGATATTTAAATGACTACATGATGGATCAGTTGGAACAGGCAAATGTTTAAAAATATTTTCATTCTATTAGAATTAGAACAGAAAACAAAATAACTTCTTTTTATTTCTATTGAAATTACTTTATCAAGTAATGAATAATTTTTTCCATCAGGTATTGTTGTAAAATCATGAATATGACCCCAATTATTATTCCATGGACTAATATCAGCTGATTTATATTGCTCTATTATAGTTAGAAGATGAAAACTATGCTTTTTTTTTTCTGAAAATAAATCTTACCAGCTAATTGTTGATAATTAAATGTTAAACATCCAAATTCAATATTATGTGACGATTCAATAATTGGTTGACTTATACATGATAAATAAATATATGTATCACGACAATCTCGAGTACGAAATTGTTGGCATATTGTTGCTAATACACAATTTATTGAATCTCGAATGAAAATACTAAAAGGAATTGTTTTCATTTTTTTTTCGAAACAGAAAAAAAAAAAAGCTTAAATTTACCTTCCGTGAACAGGACCAATAAATATTTGACAATTATTACAATCATCAATTTGTACTTGACCAGTATGATCGAATACATAGACTTTACAATTCTATTAAACGATAAAAATTCAAAAAGAATTGATTTCATCTACTATTACACACTTCACAGTTTTGAACTAGAAAAAGAGAAATTAAGACATGTATGGATTAAGTGAAGATATTTAAAGTCTTAACTTACTGATAAATTGTTGACCATTTACTGAGCCTGGTAATCGAAAGATTGTTTGATCTTTCAATTTATCAAGAATGAAATCTTCCTTTCTAATTGCTACTCGATCAGCTCTTTCCCTAAAAATTTACAGTAGAAGTATTAAGTGCAGTAGATAGATAACAATTTTTTTTACCATGAATAAACTGGCCGTGGTGGTGGTTGTTCAACAATATCGCTAGATCCTAGCGAACCAAAGAAATACGAAAAATACGAAAACAGGCAACCCATATCTAACAGTAAATCTGTTGGAAAGGAAGTGAATCTTCTTCCTATTACTTCTGTGCTTATTTACAAAGTCATAAAGAGTTGCTTGCTCCAGATTTTACCAAAATAATTCCATTGCTTAGACAACTTATTTCAATGCAGTATGTTGAAAGAAATCATTTTCCATTGTTTGTATTGCCATGGAATTGACATGAATAGAATTTTTTTTAACTAACATTTGAACATGTCTCAACAAGGTGCTGCATTACAAAATTATAACAATGAACTAGTTAAATGTTCGCTTATTCTATGAAATTTTCTTTCATATTAATCAATCTATTATTTGAATTGTCTAGGTATTGAAGATTTATGTGCAAAACGTGATGATTTACAACGTCAAATATTAATTGAAGAAGAAGATAAACATAAAATTGAAAATGAAATTCGTATAGCAAGTGAAAAATTAGTTAAAATAAATGAAAGTTTAGCTAAAAAAATAACTGCAAGAACAGAATTTGATCGAACAATAAGTGAAACAGAAGCAGCATATATGAAAATTCTTGAAAGTTCACAAACATTACTTAATGTAAAATTTATTTTATTAATTTTAATTTTTTTGTTCTTTTTTTGTTTTTATTTAGGTACTCAAACGAGAATCACATTCACTTCGTACGAAAGTTGACGAATAGATGTATAAAAAGAAAATACGAAGAATTTCTATTCATCTGTAATCCATTTTGTATGCAACTTGATATATAAATATTTCTCTTTTCTCTAACTTTATATGTATATTAGAAATAAAAATATGAAAAAAATTATATTAATAACACAAATATTTGATGATGATGAATAACATGATTCTCCATCGTGTGGTGTTATTTCAAGTTCAGTTAAATTAATACATAAATTATTTACGATATAATTATCAAGTTCAATTAAATAATCATTTGATAATGATGTAGTTCGACTAAACATCCATAAACGAGGTTTTTCACATGGATTCGTATGTATATAATTTTCTGATGTACAACTATAGATTAATGCATAATGTTCATAATCAGTTTTTAAAATATAAAAAGGTCTATTAAGTGGCTTCGTATCATTAATATCAACTGCTTGAAGAATCATTTTTGCATTATTATTTGCAATAATGACCCAAGGTCCAAAAGAAAAACAGTTTGTATTTATTAATCGTCCTCTACCAGGCGCTACAATCGTCTGTGTTGAAGAGTTTTCTAATTGAAATACTAGATAAGTATTTCGCCAGATTTCAAATTCATTATGTGGTTGATCTGGTAACCATTTTATTTCATACCAAATACCAAGAAATTTATATAAATTAAAATCCGACTGAACAATAAGATTTTCAAAAGAAGGCTTTGTACAACCCAATATACCAAGAATTTTATTCAAAACAATGACATACCCAATAAATAAAAACCACTTCATTCGAATTTTTTCTTTTTGCAGTGCACAAATAAAAACAACTACAAAATGTATCTCTTTATATATAGAAATATACTTGACAATAATCTCTTTAAAAAAAATCATCGAAAAGAGCATAAGTCATAGAGTATCACGACTTGCAGTATTGTAAGAAAACAGAGATTAGAACAACAACTGATAGTGCCTTTATTTTATTAATAATAATTGAAATGCAGCACAGCAAAATATGAAATGAAATTGATATGAATACAGTCAACAGTTTTCTTTTTTACAATTATTTTTTATACAAATGAGACCTCCTTCTCGACTTTATTTATCAAGTAATACTTTGCCCTTTTCATAATCGTTTGATTATGTGCAAAACATTTTTTGTTGTTGACAAGAACAAATTTTTTTCAGCTTTGTTTTTTGTTCTGAAGACATTCGCTCTATATCATTTGCATCTCAAAATAAATATGCAAAGAATGTAGAATGACTGATAATGACACCGCGATTTTCTAGCACAAACTATTTAGTTTTGTTTCATCTAGTTATCTGTACTGTCAGATAGACTAATGCAATCAACAAAAGATTGAAATCTCAGTCAAAATTCTTATGAAATTAGTTAATCGTCATTCTCAGCCAAAGTCGATTCGATGCCGAGAAATAACCAATAGCTGCATCAATACTAAAAAGTAATGGATGTAACGTTAATAACTCGGCAATGGTAACAGCAAGTGATCTGCGATGTTCAGTAATCAAACAAGAAGATACTCTATCAGAAAAAAATATTTTACAGCTCATCATCTTTACATACAATTTAATCGAATAGATACGCAATTATACTTGCCCGACATTGAGGGAATATGAGAAAATAATTACCTAAATCATGTCTTGATCTATAGATCTGAAACAAATATCATTATTAAAAATTATCTCCAAAAAACGAAACATCATCTTCATGCATTTTTTTAATGTTTTGAGTTACCAAAAAATTACAGATCACTAAATGTTATTGTTGTCATATTATTGACTTTACATTTATGTCTCTTAAATTTTGACGTGGACATTAGAAACAACTCTGATGAATATTTTTTTCATAAGAAAATTTCATTTTATCATTCATAAATAATGTGAAATAGTATTATTAAATAAGAACTATTATATAGCTATGATTCAAGTGTAAAAAAAAGTTGTCAGCACAATCCCTCTGGGATTAAAATATGAAACGCAATGCAGCTACTGGTATTATAAAAGAGAGGATTAATCAACATATGCTTTAGTTTATGAATTCTTACCTACTGTTAACGCATGTCAGTGTGTTGAAAGATATTAATGACGATAAATTGTAGTGAGTGTGAAAGAAAAGTAAAGAACAATTATGATACTAATACCGCAGTGAACTTTGATCTTCCAGTTATATGTGTCACAGTGAAGAGACGTTGTTAAGATGTCTATTATGGTCTCTTAATGATATCTGTCACATCTATGACTAGCTGTTACTAAGATGTCTGTCACAGTTATGCTAAGTCATTTCTAACGTGTCTGCGGATGTTGAAATTTGCATTCCTATACTTCAACACTTGTTTTAGATGATGTTTTTTTTTGCAAAACTATCATATTCATCATACATTATAGTTAATGAAATGAACTGTTTTTTTTATCAATTAATGTTTGTGTTCTGTTTATAATACAGTTTTCAATAGACTTTTCTATGATATTATGACTTGCTTGAAGCAATTAAAAAGTTAGATAAATCTATCAATTTAAAATTTTCAATATCTTATTAATTTGATTAATTTCGAAAAAAAAAAAAAAAAAGAAGAACAGTCAATTAAAAAATCTACAATATCATATAACTCTTCTTTTAAGTCATGCATCCGAACATCTCTTTGTTACTTAAAAGACGGAATTAACTACAACGGATTAACGTAAAGAAAAGAAAAGCTACGCACATACAAACACACACATGAATTACATTGCTGTTAAAAGAAGAGAAAGACAAAATGTACGAGATTGCAAAGAAACGCATTATACGATATGTACGCACATTTAACATCTATATAAACATGAATTACAAGTAAAGGAAGTATTAGAAATACACACACACACATATTATATAACTATGTATTAATATTATCATTAACTACTACTAATATTCATTTTTAATATTTCATAGACACGTGAAAATAAATCTTTATAATTTGTTGGTTCATAACAAGATTTCATTTGATTATTTTTTTCTAATAAAACTTCATCATATAATGATAGATCATGTTCTGGTGGTGAATAAATATTTGATAAGACTAATTTATTATGTTCATTAGAATATTTTTCTAATAATTTTCTATAATGATTTAATTCATTCTGTAAAGAATCATTATCATCACGACGCTTTCGTTCGAGTTGTGTTATACGATCTAATAAATAATGTTTATCTTGTTCAGATTGACGAAGTTGATCATTTATTTTAGTACATTCAATTGTCAATGATTTAATACGTGATTTAAGTTCACTAAGATGTGATTTAAATACGGATGTAGATGAACTATCAAATATATTCGATGATGTAGATGAATTTAATAATGGAGGTGAATTAGGCATCGATAATAAAGAAAATGAATTCGAACGTTGTCGTTTAGGTGATACTGGTGTTAAAAAAATTGATGTTTGATATGGAGAATTTATTTGTTTTGAAATAAAATTTAATGAAAATTGTTTTGCACGAAATGTACTATATTCATGTTCAATATCATGATATTGTTTACGTGTTTTTTCATATAGATCAAATAATCTACAGGGAAAATATGTATAAATATATATTTTTGACAATATAAAGATTATTTTGTCAACTTTTGAATTAATCTAAGCAAAAGTAGGAATTTTAATTTTGATTAAACTGAATTACAATTCGGCTAGAAATTAATTTTAACAATCGAAATCTGAATAGAAGAAGTATTTTTTCTAGACATATTAAAATTCAACAGATCCTAAGTCTATTCAACTATATTTGTGCGATTAGTTCGTTTTACAATGATACTTTTTCTTTATAAGCACTTCGTTATAGAAGACTTTTTTTTCTTGAAATTATTCACTTAAGGAATTATTATGTTTTTTTCCTATTGTTTGTGATCAAGCGACTCGACACCGTCTATTTGGATGGTTGTTGAATCCAATTCAGACAACCTTTTTAATTAGATTGTAACACGTACATCGATATTTCTACTGCTTCATTGACACGACTGTCACAATTACAATTTTTCTTTGATTCCACTTCACTTTTAGTGCAAAGCTCGTCATTCTTTGAACTTATCTCTAGTCGAATTTTAATTGTGCTTGAGCTTTGATTAAAACCCAATTTAGTTCAAAAACATATATCTATCTTTCGAAAAATGCTTACTCTTTGATACGTTGTCGATTTTTTTCATTTTCTCGACGTTGTAATGCAAGTTCTTTTTCGAGGTCAAAATTAGCTGCATCGAGAAATTCTGTTTGTTTACATTTAGTATCAAATTGTTCTCGAGTTGACAGAAATTTAGCATGTAATAACTAGAATGGAAATAAAATTGATATTAGTTTATTCATTTTTTTTTTCTAATATTATTATTCATTCATCTTGCTTTCACTTCGCATTGTTTATCTTCAATTTCTTTTTCTAAAACCTGAATATAATTTTGTAATTCTTGATTACGTTCAAGTAAATATCGACCAAGTTCAGCAGCTAATCGAAGATCTATGAAGATATAAAAATTTTTAAAGAACAAGACAATTTTATTAATAATATAAAAACTTTTTTCATAATCATCTGGATTTAATGTTGTTATCGAAGATGAAGAAAGAAGAGTATTAGTAAAATCAAGTTCTGCACCATCCATTATTGATAAGAACATTATCGACGCTTGTACATTTTGATTGACCTGAAATAAGTAATGTTTTCGTGATAATGCCATTGATGAAGCCATGTATATTTAAATAGTTCAATGGTTTATGTTTTAAAGAAAGAAGAAAAAAAACGAAGAAGAAGGACACTTTATATTCTTCTATGTCTATTCGAAATGAATAGAGGTGGTGATTAATTAGAACAATCTAGGACAATGACCATCGAGACATGCCCGAAAAATAGAAAGAGAGAGAGAGAGAGAGAGAGAGAGTAAAAGTATTTTTCAAGCAAACAAGCATAAACTCTATATTCGTTTTCTTACTTGATCTTATATGCACATGACTATAGTAGATATAATATGATGTGCGCTCTAGTTTACTATGTCTATGAAGCATATAGGCAAATATGTACATTGTTTCTTTCTCTCACCCATTCTTTCTCTCGACTACTTGTCACTATGTGAAAAAATATGATTATATATGCGTGTTATTTCCATCAGAAAGACAAAACGAACTATTGGTAGTAAGCATAACGAAACGGATGATTGTAGATACAATTTATCGTCATCACTGTCAGCTCGTATTATATGTATAAACATGGCAGGAAAAAAAGAGGACAGAAGAAAATGAAAGATAGGCTAAACAATCCCTCCTATCTATATCGTCGTTTACTTAAAGATTATACAGACTAACAGGCGTACATATAAACAGCTGCACATGTGTAATATATATAAGGTGAATCGAAAAGGTGTATATACTCGAACATAACGCTTCATACAGACAACTGATCAATATCATTTTATTTTTTTTCTCACATTGTCTCTCTCTCGTCTTTTTTTTACATAATAACTTTTACAATGATTACTATGGCTGCTTTTTTGCTAATATACTGTAGTCAATGTGTGCGTTTACTTTGAATTATAACATCATGATCAGTTGACCTCGAACATTGCATGTGATAAGATGAAGTTATATTTATTTTTATTGTAAGTCGTTGCCTTCAATCTCTCACTTTTTTTCTTCTCTTACATATATATATATGTGTAATTGATGAAATTATTCGACATTGCTTTGTTATAAGATATATACTGTATGTATTTTATATATACATTATTATTTATAATTTGTTCACTATTGACTTTTCATTTTCTTTTTTCTTATATATGTTATTAGTAGCGTTTGTAAATAAATAGAAATCTGTCCATGACTTGTTCAAGGAAAAAACGAAGACGGGCATAGATTTCATTGATAAGAGTCAAATATTTATAATGAAATCGAATGAATTACTTCAGTACTCGATAAAAAAAACTCATACTCATTTACTTCTACAAGATCTTATATTTACTCTAGAGAAATATTTTATATTTATGAATAAAGATAGCTAAAAATCACATAACCTTACTCTTATACTATTCTATTGCATTGATGTATTTATCTTCATAGTAAGCTATTTAGATTAAAAAATAAAAGTTAGTAAGTATATGCTTTTTCTTTTTTGTTGAAAGAAAAGAAGCAAAATGTCACTTATTCATGTCATTAGTATAATAACCAAATAACTATTGTATATTTTTACATATTCATTTATTTTTTGCATAAAGAATACAATAATAAATATATATTTTTTAACATCAAAAGATGAGAGATGAATATTAATTCGTATGACATCAGATGATTTGTTTAAATATACATTTGTTACAGTAAATAACGAGTATGTTTAATGTGTATATTCATATATTATTATAGTATGTTAATCTATTGAAGATAAAACAAACTTTTTGTTAAAATTCTACAGATATAAATGAACTGTCTACTGTGACAAGAAGAATATCGATGACCTTGTAATCAATAATATATATAATTAAATTATAATAGATATTTGATTCATTGTTGGGTAGTTGCATTGATCCAATATTTCTAGATGAATGTATTCTATTACAATCAAATATTTATTTTGTTATCATATACTTTTTGCTTATTTGCATATGATTTTATTCAATTGAGAATCTATTTTTTTAACTCTAAGAAATAATTTTTTTTTATGAATAGAATTTGTTTATACAAAGAAATGATTTTTCATATTGTTATTTCTGATCTGTTATGGTTAGTATCTATCCAAGGTGAAATTTTCTTCTTTAGTAACATATAGTACAATAATATAAATAAATCGAGATGAAGATCATGATGGGAGGGACCAAGGACAAGAAGTAAATTGATGATTTAGTCGTAGTAATAACTATATCATATAGATTAAATACTTGACTATCAGTTATTTTATCAATAAGTGTCTTCCATTGTTACAATAATGGATTCATTGATAACCGTAAATCATTAAGAGAAGAATAATATAGATCTACTACGATATTGAGTTAGATTTATTATTGCTTATGAATTTTTCTTTATCTTCTAGTGTTAATTTACGTCCATGGATGATTGAAATTTAAGATCAGAGACATATGGACAGTTATGTTTAGCCAAAACTATTGCTGTCAAATTATCGAACATATCATATCTCTAATCAATAGTTTTGCTAATTGCATCTTTTAAGTTCTCTTGAATATCTCTTTTTCTATATTGCGTTAATCAAAAGATCCACTTCAGTCAATAATTTATTGACTTTAATGCTCGTATCATCAATTTCGATTGGTCTAGCCAATAATCCTACATTATCAGTATAAGATGAACCATGGGATTCACTTAGTACGAATAGAATAATATGAAGTTTTTTTCTAACATAATCTTTACTCTATGACAGATAATTATACATTAAACCATCATCGCAAAGAGGTTTGTACAGGATTTGCACGTCATTCAATCGTTATTCTCAAAGGGTTAAACAATATTGACAGAAATAAAACGTGCTTGACGTATTCAATGCCAATGTTAGTTGGTATTCTATTTAGATCTGATGAGATAGACAACAATAGAGCGTGGGTAGGTAATAACTACAACGTCACATGAGATGATGATTTACATGCATGTTTACTTGAAGGTTATATAATGATCGCACTCAATGTTTTATTATTTGAATTTCATGGGACCTAATTGGCTATATAAATTATATAGTTATGAGCATAAGTCTCTTCTGGTGAAAATATTCATTGAACAAGTATGACTTGTCAGCATGAGTAACTGAGCTTATTCGAGCAATTTTATGTACGTATATGTATACTTTTCATGTATTCTAGCGAGTACTAATCCTGAGCTTTTTCTTTTGAATCATCTAGCAAAACATTTATGCATGATAATGTACAAAAAGATGTTTTAATAACATGTCTAAGTTGTACTCTCTTCTTTTCTGATAAATCATTCATAAAATCTCAATGAAAGGTGATTTAAAGAAAGAAGAAAAAAAGAGTTTCATGTTCAATTACTTATACAAAAATACTATTCTACATTAAAATATACAATTTTCAGATTGATTAGGAAAATAACAGACGGCTAATACATTGTATAACAATACTGTATACAAAAATTTTAAGGGTAATTTAAATACCTGTGGTTTTCAAACTGATTGTATCTGTCTTTTGTTGTTAGTTCTATAAGTAAGTAAAACTAATATAGAACAGGTATCCGACTCAAATCGAGTTGCGACAAACTCTTTTTGGATTTGAGAGTGAATCTACAGTCTGAACATTTTCCAGATATAGAAGGCATCATGAATCTTTTTTCATTTAAATGTTCTATATAAGTGTGGCAACAATTAGTAATCAGAACAAGAAGTTATGCATCACATGATCTTTTTTCTACTTCACCGTCTTTTCTCAATATTACAAGGCAAGTAATTACTTGTGATATGTAGATTCTCAGAACACATCATAAGTATTACTGATGAGTATTTCCACTAGAATCACTACTTGGATGTATCTCGAGTAGAATACACATAAGAAATCTGAAAGTTTATGTACAAATATTCTATTAAGAATGTAGACAGATCAGAGCCATCCACTAGGGAACAGATTCGGAGTCCGAAATCCGATTCCGACTTTATCGGATCGGAGTTGGAATCGGATAAGCTAGAAAAGTGTTTTCGGAGTCGGAGTCGGAATAAAAACTTATGATGAATTCCGATTTTTTTTGTTTTCGATTTTCCTTCTAGTAATCAAATCTGTTTTTCTAAAGTAGAATGCNTAAGAATGTACACAGATCAGAGCCATCCACTAGGGAACAGATTCGGAGTCTGAAATCCGATTCCAACTCCGATTCCGACTTTATCGGATCGGAGTTGGAATCGGATAAGCAAGAAAAGTCTTTTCGGAGTCGGAGTCGGAATAAAAACTTATGATGAATTCCGATTTTTTTTGTTTTCGATTTTCCTTCTAGTAATCAAATCTGTTTTTCGAAAGTAGAATGCTGTTTATAGTTGTAAAGAGAGTAATATGATTTGATTTTAATTCATCAGTAAGTTTATTGATAATTGTGAACAAAAATAAGTTGAAAAAAATCCCGGAATTCACTTGATTTTGCAGTTTTCTTCTTTCGAACAAGTTTAACTGATTGATCATTGCCCTTTATTAATTTTTCAAGCTGTGTTTTTGATAACATCTTTTTATTCAGTTTTTTTTAAAACAAAGACAAATCTTATGAACATATACTTAGGGCTATTTCTCGCATGATTCGTTTTCGGTCGCTAGCCATTCATTATATATGATTTCAATATGTGTTCGATGTCGCTAAATCATGAACAAAAATTATCGGAATTTTTCGGAATTGGAATCGGTATCGGATCCACGAATAGTCTTTTTTAGGAAGCGGAGTCGGAATCGGAAAAAAAAATTTTTCGGCTCGGCATCGGAACGAAAAAGTTCATTAGCGCTGATCACTACCATCCACACTTCGTTTTTGATTGTTTCTGATTCTTGGACACGGTACAATCGATCTAGCTGAAATTTTGTACCCCAGATAGAGCACCAAAAAAAAAATGTTGTTGGCGTCAACAGAGGTCACCCTATTACTACTAGCTGTTCCCGTTAGTTGTTATTGGTTTCTTTCTTCTTCCTCTAAGTTGTTCTTGTGTGTTTACTCTTTCTGAACATACTAATGGTTATTCACTTTTCTTTTCCTGTTGCTATTGACTTTTTTCGTTGATATTATCTTCTATTCTCGCATCTTTCTTTGTTATAATTATTCAGGTTTTATTGTAATAATAGAACCTCATCTCATCATTGTCACAACGTTAATATACGGTATGCGTGTTTTTTTCACGTGAGATTTCTTATTGTTTTAGTAGATCGAAGTCTACAGTCAGCTGTCATTTGGTCTACACTTTAGTTTGAGAACATGAGCATTTGTCGCTCTGATAGAATGAGAGTCTCACATACATGTTTGAGGAAAAAACTTTAAAGTGGAGTTTTGGGAAATTTTGATTACTTATGGCTCCATCTAACTTTGTTCGATTGGATTGCTATTTGTAACACCGATACTTTTAAATATTCGTGAAAAGTAAAATCGACTATTTTCATTTTTTACTTTCGAAGCCTTATTTACAGGATGGTGAAAACCAAAACCTTCTTTCTAAGATATAGTCTTAGATATCTCAAAAAAAAATTTTCAATTAGATCAGATAAGATTTGATGGAAGTCATTGTATATCAAGATGTAGCCCTATGAAAACTAGAGTTTCTCAGAAAAAAAACTGGAACATTCCACTTCAAAACTTTGTCCTCGAACACGTGTCTTCTCATTTAATATATGTTCTGTCTTTGAGAATCAGAAACGGTCAAAAAAGGAAGAAAGTATTCTTAAATACAACGAGAATTTTGAGTAAAAAAAGAGCATAGACTTGAGTCTAATTTCATGTTAAAATATCAAGAATAAGCTATGCATTTAATTACAAATAAATCAAAACTTAGTAAATAACTTCTTTTCGGTCAAAAGTCTGAAGCAGAAATAGTCGCTCTCCACTGTAATTCTCGTTGCATATCAATCATCAAGGTGAGCTTATGCTTCTGATCAATATTCTTAGTGGAAAATGTACACGTAACTTTTTTTATAAATAAAATATTATGCAGAATATTGCTCACTAACAAATCTAACACAAAGTTTTAAAATGCTAACACGTATGGTAGCCAAAATTTGATGAAAAGAAGTACTTTAGTTTACTAATATATGTTTATGAACGTAAATTTTTATCTAATTTCTATAGAGTGATAAAGAATATTACTATGTGTTCTATTGAAATTCAACTGATAAATGACTTGAACTTGTTGGTAATGCTTTATTTTTGCTATCACTCAAATTATATCACAAGAAATGATGAAAAAATCGACACTTCACTTATCCTTATTTCACCTAATATAATTAACAACACATGATACTACACTGACAGATAAAAATCACTATCTGTAGATATTCCGACTAATACCGAAATCATAAATAAGATATTTATATTTACACTGCTAACTTGATTTTCGAATCTAGACGAATCTAAACACAAAAAGGACATGGTTATTTTCAATATTTTCTTGAATTTACTATTAAAATGTTGAATTATTATATATCTATAGAAAAGAAAATTTTATTTTATATGTCGAGTTGTAATAAAAGTAAAGAAAATAAAAAGCTTGATTTAAGGTATTTATTCTTCTTCAATTGAAATATACTTATATATCTTAAATGGGCGATAAATCTGAATACATAACATTATTGAAAGTTTTGTTACGAGTGATGATAATGCATGCATGCCTATGATATAGATGATTTTCATTAAATTTTGGTTATGTATCAAATGGTATGCTGTACGAGCAAAAATACAAGTTTTGTATCATTTAAAGCTTTATTGTTTTTGTTTTTGTTCCTTGTCGATGCTCTTCAAATACATAGTCCGTAGCCATTATATGAAATAAATTTTCTTTATTAAACATCTGAAATGAAACTAGAACAATAAAAAATATTTACTGTCATAAATCATTGAGGACTAGTTAATGATTTTCGTCGAAAACTGACGCATCATCAAGTGCATTTATATTCGACTTAAGTTGTATTGAACTAATTTTAATTTCAAATTATTGAAATTGGTTTTATTATCTGTAATTTTATCAGTATCATTTGACTGCTCATAAATCAGTTTTCTTCCACGAATAGATTCTTCTTCATTCGCAAGAAATAGGTATTTCTAGAGACTCATCTGAAGTTTATGTCGTTGGATAGTGACTCGCATTTTCTCAATACCAACACGGAGTTTTTAATACATTTTTTTAAACAATACAGTCACTGCAATGACAAGAAATGGAAGCAAAATGATTCGAATAAAATGCTTTTTTGCATAAAGTTGAAAAAACAATATTTATAGTACTCAACTTAAAAAAGATTGATGTTCATTCATAGTTTACATGATTATATAGAATAGAACTGTTCAGTAGGAACGAATGTATATGAATAGAAAAAAAAAAGAAAATATCAGATTAGAGTATCTCATGGAGCATATATTTAGAACAATCACTAGTGCAGCCATGCATGCTTAATGAAGGATATAAATATAGAAAGAAACAAAAAAAAAAGATCACAAGAATCAGTGAACGGAATATTAGTTAGATTTTGAGAATTAATTCTAAAAGTATATATACTTTAGTTATATATCATTCAAATTTATTATAATTTTAAGCTTTGAGATTGTGTCTTAAGTAGTATTTACCTTTAGCTTCATTATACAATTTAATATTACATATAAATACACCAAGAAACTATGTCAAAGGATATCAAGCTTTCTATAAGTATACAAAGAAATGATGGATTACGACAAAATTATCCTTAGCTAATATCTTTCATAATCACAATTTTTTCTATAATCAAAGAAAATAATAAATCTACGATTGTTATATGTTGTATTTTGTTGTTTTTGATTATAAACAAAGTCTCAAATTGAGAATAGGTCAAAAATAATTCATGTTAACAGTAGATGAATTAATCATCATGAGTAAATCATTCTGAGATTCTGTTTATGACTAAGAAATTATTATTCCGTTGATATATTCTAGATAACCAGTAGATAAATAATTATGAGTTCTTGAAAATTTATCTCAAATATATCTTATAAATATATGCAATGTTTTTTTATAAATAAAATATCGAAATCCTTAATCATTTTTCGTCGCAACTTTCTTTATACTACGCAAAATAAACGATCCTGATGTAACAGATTAGACGACCCTAAAGAAAAAGTTTACTTGTTTTTTTTTTTTGTCGTACTCTGTTTGCTCTCCTACTCTTTTTCTTTTTCTGTAGCAAGTTGACGTCGTTATCAAGTACACACGCACACATGCGTCAGAAGCAAAAAACGGAGACAACACATAGAAAAGAGAAAAATTAGTCAGCATTGTCGTCAATATAAAATATAAAATTACCGTTTTTTTTTTTTATAACTCTTCAGTTTAAATACAAGACTACTATAAAGATGAGTGGCTATCCTTACGGAAATCCAGGCGGTGGTTATCCGCCTCAGTATGGTGCAGGGAATAGTGGCTATCCCAATTATCCACAAGATAGTGGTTTTCAACCACAACCACCAATGCCTTCGTATAATGATAATCAATCATGTGCATCTCTCTATGGTACAGCAGCTCCTATATCAAACAATATGAATTACCCACCAGGACCTTATGATTCTTATGGGGGAAATCAGATGCCGAATGCACCGTATAGTATGGGTGGTGGTAGCAACTATGCACCACCACCACCATCACAGCCCATGTTTGATCAGCCTCCACAACCATTTGGAGGTAGAAAATAAAGATATTTTAATTCAAGAACTTATATTCTATTGTAGGTTATGGAAGTTCACAATATCAGCCATCTTTTCCTCAACAACCTCCACAACAATTCGGAGGTAGAAAAATGAAGAAAATTTTAATTAGTAATTTATATTCTATTATAGGATATGGTAATTCACAATATCAACAACCTGTACCACCTCCATCTGGTGGAGTGTATCCAAATGCACAAGGACCGTCAAATTATGGTGTACGTAATAATTCATCTTTATAACTCTTTACATAATTCTCTTAACATTGTTACAGGCAGGAGTACCACCTTCTTCATACCAACAACCAGGATTTTATCCACAAGAGCAACCATCAATTTTACTTGCTAGTTTAGAACAATATCAAGGAACAGTTTTTCCAGCAGCAAATTTTAATGCCGAAGCTGACTGTCACGCGCTTAGTCACGCTATGAAAGGAGCAGGTAAATTATATATTTACATATATGAATATAATTATTATTATTTTTTTTCATAAGGTACAAATGAACGTGCTCTCATCGATATTATTGCTAATCGATCAAATTTTCAACGTCAACAAATAAAACTTCAATATAAAACAATGTTTGGTGTTGTATGTATATTTATTGAATCGCTTCAATAAGGATACTAATCTTTTGTCAATTTAGGATATAGTCAAACAAATTGGTGGTGAATTAAGTGGTCATTTTAAAGAAACTATTACTGCTTTATTTGATGCACCAGCAAATTATGAAGCATGGTCAATACATGAAGCATTTAGTGTGAGAAATTTTATTTACATAAATAATTGATATTTAAATGTTATTTTTTGTAGTTAGGAAAAGAAGGAACTTTACGAGAAATTTTGCTTACAAGAGCTAATGCAGAAATTCGTGCCATTGTTGATGCATACAGACGAAGTAAGAAAAAGAAAACGATGTTGAATTACTAGTTAATTAATTCAATGTTTGAAATTTAATAGTCTATAACAAAGATCTTGAACAGGACATTAGTCATCGTGTACGTGGAACGGACTTTAAACGTATGCTTGTTTCTGCTGTACAGGTAAAATTATTTCTATCTATTGATTTATTAGATTTATATATTTGTTTTTCAAGGGTAATCGTGAAGAATTAACTCCACAACAAATTCAACAAGCTCGTCAGATGGGTATTGAAAGTGTGATTGATCGGTAAAATTAGCATTTCCTTCTTCTTCTTGAATATCCATTTTTTTGTAATTCTTTAGTAATCGTGCTCGTCAAGATGCCGATGATTTATATAAAGCTGGTGCTGGTAAATGGGGTACAGATGAAAAAGCATTCAATGCAATATTTGCTCGACGTAGTTATTATCAACTTCGCGCTACATTTGAAGAATATCAAAGAGTAAATTATTTTAAAAAAAAAAATGTTAATTTCCTTTTTTTTTTCTTTTTTTTCAAATTTTTCCTTTAGAAACATGGAAAAGATATTGCACAAGTAATACGATCAGAATTTTCTGGTGATGCACAAGATGCTTATCTTGTTTTAATAACATGTATACGTGATCGACCAACATTTTTTGCTGAACGTATACATAAAGCAATTGCTGGTTTAGGTACAAGAGACTCAACACTTATTCGTGTTATTGTTTCACGTTCAGAAGTAAATTTCATAGAAAATAAGACTTTCATTATAAATGTTTCTTTTTTGTTTTAGATTGATCTTGCACAAATTAAACAAAGATATCAACAAATGTATAATCGTTCATTAGCTCAGGCTGTCGGAGGTGATACTTCAGGAGATTATAAACGAATCCTTTTATCAATTATAAAATGAAATTTGTAATGAATGAAGAAAGAAAAAAAAAGAACTTTCGGATAATGCTTTATTAAGAGCATGTTTAAATAAATTTCTTTGCAGTATTAAGGAGTTGTAACACCTGCAAGTAATTGTTGTGCCAGTAATGCTTGATTACTATTACTTAAAAGAGCTTGAAATGTTGCTTGATCCAATGTTCCTATATATTAATCATAGAAAAATTCTAATTGAAATATTTTCTCCTAACCTGTAACTGCAACACCTAATAGTCCTTGAAGAGTAGTCCAAGCTTGTGTAGCACCTACTCGATAACACAACGTTTGAAAGGCATTGGCAACTGCTGATTGAGGCCACCATTGATTGAAAAATTGGTTAGCTTGATGGCATTGAGTATAATTGGAACTTATTATTTAAGAACATTATTTAGTAAAATAAATCCGACAACTTACCCGCCATGACCATGTCCATGATGCCCATTCCCATGCCCATGATGTCCGTGACCATGCCCATGTCTACCAGCATTGACGAATTGTATGGTGGCAAAACTCAATAGCAGAAAAACAAAAAGAATATTCCACCGATTGATATGCATGCTTTTTTTTTAAAGAGTTGTATTTTGTTTGGAAGAAAAGCAGAGTATATATATATACTTGGCATTTGATTTCAATTGCAAATCAATGTACTTTGAAGCCGTTAGGTAAGCTTAATGAAAGAAAAACCTAACATCATCAATACCCACGTAATGAACTGACACAAACTATTCTAACTACATCTGCGAAAATGTAATTAATGTCTTCAATAACAAATGCCCTTTTTCGTAAAATTTATTCTGTATGCCAATAATTGATAAATTTGCGTCGCATACCGTTAATAGAAATGTAAAACTTGAATAAATTTAATAGTTACCCTATTAATAATGAATTGATGCTACAATCTTCGAAACCTTTGTTGTTTGAAATGTGAATGAAATTATCATCAAATCAATTTTAAGATCGAAATTTCGACAAGAGTCTCGATGTTTTTCTTGACAAGAACGAAAAACTTTTGCAAATTGCATTATTTTGTCGATCATGCTCTATATTACAAAACGATTGAGGTTGAATCAAACATAATCGATAGATCTTACTAGAAAAACATCGAGAACTTCTTTTAAATTCGAATCTTGAGATTATCGAGCCATTCAACTTTCATTATATGTACATTCTATTTTGAATTGAACAAGAGTTTATTAAAACAAAGAAAATCAAAATGAATGTAAGCAAATAATAAATTTCGTTTTTTCTATGATACACAAAAGGAAAAAAGGTAACTAAGTACAAGAATGTTGTAATAGTGTAGTATTACATCGAGCTGGGGAAGTCGATATCTTTTTTGTTACTGAAGAAAATAATGTCATCGTCGAATAAGGCTGATTTTTCTCGCCGATAAAGAGAATCATTTAGGCACATGAATATTTCATTAAAAAAAAAGAATATTTACGTTTTAGTTGAATACCATCGAACAAGTGAATGAGAATTAGAAACACTTATTTGTTCATGTTCGAATTAATGTCTTTTTTATATTTGACTTCATCTTTCACATAAACAACAAATAAATTATCAATTCGAATTTTGATAAGTTTAGCAGACATTTTCATTGTGTATGCAATTCATGATGATCAGCAACTCTGAATAACATTCTTCAAAATTTCTACTGTTCACTTTATAAAACGATGGCCCTTCTATATAGTAAATATAACGATAAAAAATGAACAATATTAAAATAACTATCGCGAATGGCTCAATCAAAAACAGGCTGATGTATTAAAATTTCTGCAAAAACTGAACATCCTAGTTATGGATACCGTTCATGTCATTTTTTAAATTGATGATCAGCATGATTTAAATGTTACTCAATATAATGTCGAACTTGAGCATTAGAAAACTTCATCGAAGACAATGCATGAAATTAATGTTCATTATTTGTTATAATCAGGGCTGTCCCGAGCAACGAAAAATGGGGGGGGGGGGGGGGGGGAGGGGGGATTAAAAAAAACCCACACCCAACCTGATGAGGGA